CACTGGGGTCCAGATACATTCAGCTAACGAGTTCCCAATAGGACGAAACGAGCATCCTGGTTTCTTCTTCTAGCCACAACCAAGTAAATTACCACAGTTACTGATGTGGGTTGACGATTTAATAAAAGTTCAAACGTACGTCAGCGGAATGAAATTCCAAATGCCATACTAAGTAAATATCAGATGAGTCAGTCTACGCCAATTTTTGACCAGCGAATTTTTTATACTGCCTGCAAGCAATTGCAGTATATAATGTTGAATGAAATCAAAATGAGATCATATTATGTACTGATTTCTAAGTTTATATGCTGGAAATTCATTTGAAGTTTGAAGAGGTGATAAAGAAATGCAGTGTTATGAGTGCATTGTAGGCAATTCGATTATTGTGTTTATCAATTACTATGAAATGACCTAGTTTTCCTGATGGTCTCAGAAATCAAATTATCTGGTCTTAAGAATTAGGATTTCTAGGAAGCGCAGTCATAATTTTGCTTAGTACCTCCAGAGCAAGCCTATGAAATCGTGAAATGAGGAACGATAGTGTTGCTCAACGTCATAGGGGAAACTTTCTCATAAGCTACTGACACTTATAATGGAACGTGCAGAGAATAACACTTTAACATCTAATCTAATAAATATTTGCCAGTGGTTTTATTAACTTGGAGGTAAACTTCACTTTTCTTATCTCTGAATATTTCATCTTGATAACCATCAGAGTAAAGAACAGAATTTAAGTGAATTTAAGGTGTATCTACATTTAGTGGTTAATAGCACGTGATTACTCTGGATATATTTCAGCCTTCGTTCCCCTTTCATTACTGATACAAAATATAAAGTGTACATAAACATTTTATTGACATTATAAATAATGCATTCGGTGATAGTGGGAAAGTGGTAAAGATCACACAGTATTAGTTTAAAATGATTGTGTGTCAATTGTTGAGAGAAGAATTACTATATATCAAGAGATTAACAAAATATTGGTGGTTTAATCCGATGTCCAAGATCTGATATATATATATATATATATATATATATATATATACATATATATATATATATATATATATATATATATGAATAGCGCCTTGCATTGCTTTTCTTACATATCTACTTCATTTGGTTCATTTTTCTTTGGCATGTGAAATAGGAAACAAAAAAGGAAAGAATATTTTTTTAAGAAGTCCATATAATTCATAATGAGACTATAATTTATGACTATGAAGATCTATGTTGAAACAGGTTTAGTATATTTCAGATATGACAAGATAAAAATATTCGATTATCTTTAAATAATGATTGTTGATCTTGTTGTTTAGTCAAGAATAAAGCGTTGAGTACAGGAAGAGTATATTTCGGTCCTATTATAAAAGCTTGCCTTATCACTTTATTCATAAACTGAATATTTATGTCCATGGTTGTATTTTGACAGATGCAACTGTACGTTTTTTGTGTATATAACTGTATGTGTGTATGTATCTTAGGAGAATAATGATACAAACTTAGCTTAGTTAGCTAAGCAAAAAGGAGTTGCATCATTGATACATCTGCACCTAAACTCATACTGTTGTGAAGTGTTATTAAATGCGGTCAGCTTCTTTACGAGTAAATCTTTGTGAAGTCATTTAGCTTAGTGATGAAAAATCCAAGAACTAACCTCAAACCTCAAAGAACATCAAACAGTTATCAAGCATGATATGCAGTGAACTACCACTATTCTTGTTCAAAATAACTTTCCTGGTGAAATCCTCTATTTTAGGCATATTTAGTTTTCTGTGTCCTGATAAACAAATCAAACCTTGTAAGCTAGATAGACAACGCAATCATCCCATAGTATTTTATAGCCAAAATGTTATTGCTCAATTAAGCCTAAAAGGATAGTAGAATTGAAGCCTACAACGATTGTTTCTGACTGAATATCGAATCTGAATATTAACCTGTTCCCAGCAGTACTGATTTCTGCCTCTCATACGGAACTGTAACTTTTAATCTAACGGTTAGTCTGCTTGTAATGGTCTAGCTACCATTACACAAGTAATATAAGCGTAAAACTTGAACAGTGTGGTAGATTGTAGTTCCATTTCATTTTGTTGGTTAAATCGGGGATATGGACAATACATTTTGCCTTAGATCCTATCCTGTAAATAATACGGTTTCCGTGTGTAATACATCTAATAAAAACAAAATAAGATAGTATTTCAAATCTAATTGTGCTTTATTACGTTTCAACATTCAGCTGCAATAATTTATCATAGGTTCTGTTGTCAGAAGACTTAAACCATTCAGTGTAATAATCACAAACCATTATGAACTTATTTTTCACTAAGTATTGCAAAACAATTTCATGTTTACTTCTGTGCACATTTAATTTAGTTACAAATACAGTTTATGACATTTCACTCGGACGTTGTGTACAAATTAAATGGATAGGTATAATTACTTTCTGTTAAACGTATTAGGATTCAACATAGTAAGAAATACCCGAGCTGTCAGTTTTTCTAGATGGTTTAAAAATCCTTTTGAAAAATTTTCATGCTTTCAAAGTCAAGTTTATTACCATGAAAAGCTACATAAACTGCAAACGTCTTTTTAATTTATAAATTCCCTAGTTGTACGAAAGTATTTAGAGGTTGTTTTGCAAAGCTTAAATGTTCTTTAAAACGAATGATGACTTTGTAAGATAACAAATCCTAGCCTGTAAACAGGACTTTGTGCAAAGACGAGAAGGATCCTGCCTTTCCTGCGCAACAAAAAAATTTATGGCAACTGGTCTCTTTGATGAATTTAAACAGCGTGATAAGAAGACGAAGATTATCTGAAACATGTGACATGCAGTTAAAGAAAGTTGAACATGTACCTAAGTGGCTTCAAAAACAAATGGCCTCAACAGATCAACGGATAAGTGCAGAGGGCAAAAGTCCATCTTCGTCTATCGCTAAACATATACTAAAAACTAACTATAGGATGGACGTGAGAACAGTCTTTAAAGTACTACATAAAAGTGGTCAGAGCCGAGTGCTTAAATTTATTGGAACTCTTGCCATGTGTAAATCCAAATCACCTTTATGTATACAGAAACAATCCATACTCACGTTGAGCCTACCTTGTTATTATTGATTTTAATTTTCATACCAAGAGTAACGTGATCAAGATCTTTTTGTTTTCTCCATTATTCCTATTCCTATATTTCCTATTAAATTCATGGACACGTTTCATAAGTTTTCCTATAAATAGTTGGACAAGTCTATGTGTGATCAGATTGTTCGAAATGTATAGCACTAATACATCACATGTTCCAGATAATCTTGGTCTTCTCATTAAGCTGTTTAAAACGTTTATGATGGTGCTACTCATCCTGAAGAAAGTTTCTTAATTACTATTCGTCGTTTTTCCTTTGTGACTTAGCAAACGGGTAGAATTACTACGCATATCAAAGAGGTATTATTCTAGCAGATTTTTATACCAGTAATGTGTAATGGTGGATAGTGGCTAGCAGTGGAATCCAGGATGCGCACTTCGTACTATTTGGGACTCTTCAGTTGGATGTTTGTGCCTCTTAGCGAAGGATGTTGTTCGCACTGGGATTCGGGCCTGGGAGTGATCGCTTCTAATCGTAGAGCGTTATCCACTACACCACCGGCAGGTACATCCAACTGAGGAGTCCCAAATAAGACGAAATGCATATCCTGGATTCCACTCCTAGCCACTATCCATCATTACCATAACTAGAACACAAGTAATATCGAGGCATCCGCACAGGAGCCCAATTACCAGTCGAGGTCGGTCAATTCGGTCCAGCTAACAACGACATAATACAAGCAATTATACTAATGTTTAAGCTTTTCAATAACAGTTATTGAAATGTGAATCACCTACCATAATTCATATTTCTGACCGTCTTTATTCGTCATTTCTGATGGGTTTCATCGTCCTGTTGAACAGGATCAGAGCAAGTGAAAAAATTGGCATTGATTAGACATACTCAGTTTAAGTCAACTAATCAACTTCTATGTATTGGTTTAAGATAAACTGAAACACTCACGTTTCGAGCTTTTGCTTTTTATATTGGACCAAAGCAGCTTTGACACTGATATCAAAACACACTCAAATGAATTGAAAACAAATTGTAATAAGTGCTATTTGGTCAGAGAAGCTTGTTATGTTGTTTGTCTGTAAATTCATACTTTTGTATTCATATTTATATGCATTTATAATGCTTATAGTATGCATTAATCGGTATGTAAGAGAAAGAAATGTGCAGTGTAGAGGAAGCAGAAGATTAAGAAAAGTGATGTAAAATACCACTGTAAATATAGGAAATAAAGAATTTTATTATGCATATCAAAGAACAAGAAAAGTAAAACAGTCAGTTACTAGTGAAGTTATTTTTATGACTGACAGTCCATGACAGTTAGTTATTCATCAAATAGAACTGGTCAACAAAACATTTCGCTGCCTTGAATTTATGCATAAACAAATTTATTTGTATTCAATGTGAACACGAGTATTTTTCCACAAATGATATTTGTGTAAATGGTTTACGATTTACTATGAATACTGCCTATCTGTGTTTAATATATATATATATATATATATATATATATATATATATATATATATAAGTATGAACTATCAGGATAACAGACCGACCGATCCGAATATTTTGTAATAAAATGTTACAAAACTATTTTGTTTTTATCAAAGGTGGCAGTTATTTTCTGGTGGATGCCATCGAGTTTCAACAATTTGCAGGTACTAAGAAGAGTAACTGGACATTACTCCTAGCACCTTAGCACAATACTATGGTGTATTTCTATGAATAATTGGCTACATTATAGGGAAGATAGAATATATGTTTTCAAATTATAAAGGATATGTTAGTTTTGTAGAATAATCATGGAAATGTTACATTGAAACCAATCTTACTTTATAGTTTTATCTATTTATATTTTCAACTGTAAGTGCATACCATAAACTTATTTATTTTTCTGCATTTTAAGAGAGGATGAATACTTTATGGCATGAAACGTCTTGGATTCCTGCTTGGGACACTTGGTGGCACTACAGAGAAGGTGTAATAGGAGGTATGTCACAATCAGCATTTTTAGTTAAGCTTCAATGTCAACACTTGAATACAACTTCTGTAAGTATTCTCTAGGTGAAAATAAGTCTTTTTCTATTTATACATTATCAGTAGATTTTACTGTAACTTGGATTAAGCAGTAAAATGACTTTCAGGTTTACTAATGATCATACTAACAATTGCTTTATTCTAAACAGTATGTGTGATATAGTATGGAATTCTCAACAGAATCGTTCCCTGTACAATATTTAAACCAAAAAAGTTATTATTGCATCTGGTGTCACATTAGAATCCAGTCTGAACTTGGGAATCAATACAATATTAAGTTTACTTTTGATAGTGACAGTTCAGTCACCCAGTACATAAGTTCGAAGTTTGATATAGTTATCCCAGGAATAATAATGTGCTGTATTTTTGAGCATTTAGAAGTCATTTCTGTTCAGCGTGGCGTCTTTCCTTTGTTTTTTTCTTACCCTAAGAAACGAAAGTTGGAAAACAATTTGAAAATGTGTGAGGGCACATGATACGCTTAAAAGACATACTTAAAAGATTACAGCAAACAGAAATAGAAAAAGTGTATGAAATATATTTCATGGAAACGTTTCGTTACCCTAAGATTTAAGAAGGACGCCTTATGCAGATATATATATTTCGGGTTGGAATTTACCATGGACCGACATCAATTAGAGAAACATTGGAAATTTGGGAGTACCAGATAGCTGTTTCATCTCAGTATGTGACTCCTTAGCAGTGTACATCCATGGTTTCACACGACTACGGGTCGAACACAAGACCTTCGGGTGCTGCGGCCAGCACGTTACCATTGAGCCACTTAGGCGAAATCTAATGGTCCATATTTCCTGCTCCTGTCATTTCTTGATTCAGCGTGACCATCGGATTCTGGCCCAGTGACTAGATGGCAGCGTGCTGGTTATGGAACTTGAAGGTCCTGGGTTCGATCCTTGTATGATGGGATCATAGGTAGAAACTGCTGAGGAGTCCTGTCCAGGGAGGAAACGGCTGTCCAGTGCTCCCAGTTTTCCAACGTTTTTCCAGCTGATGAAGGATTCCAACCCGAAATCAAGTAATAAATCTCTCCAAAACTCCGAAAAGAAATATATATATATATATATATATATATCGAGAGAGAGAGAGAGAGAGGGTATTTGTGGAAGAAGTCATTTGTTTTCAATAGATTAAGGGCGTAACTGGAGACAACACGAAGTTTGCGAGTGAGAGTGGGTCACGTTTTGCATTTGAGACAACCTTGATATTGCTTTCTAAAGTTGCGGTTTATCAAAATCTAAACAGGTTACTGCTCTTTCCGTGAAATTCAAGCTGGTTGTCCACTTCGATCAAACTTCTGAAACATATACGGGAGAGAAGCATTTAATGGAAATCATAATAGGATGAAAAATCTGTTTAAGGTCTGTACCATTCACCATTCAACTGAAACTTAGTATTAAAGAATACCGTGTAGTGGATGGTGACGATTCGTCATTATTCTAGGAGTGAAAGTACAGTAACGTAAGAATAAACTATCAATTTTGAAAGAATGAAGAGTATTCACTGTTAATGCAGGAAACGAGAAGACTGAGATTCAGGGAGGAATGTTTAATATTGATATTTTGTGCAGTAATCAGCAAACATTGTGCACCTTGCATCATTTCCTTTGAGCTTCTGTCTTGATTTGCTCTCAGTACGCCTTTATTATCTCTTGTGTTTCTATGGGCCGAATCGTTACTCATTGAATTCTGCCGCCCTTTCAACATTAGGACGCATTTGAAATTAATTTTTCCAAAAGTTAATTTGTCTGCTTTTTTCCCTCCTGTAAATGTTGATAGTTAGTTATTTTCGTGTTGTAAATTGTTTGATAGTTTTACTTACTGAATATTCGAAGTATATAAGTTAATCACAGCGTTCTACATGATCTCTGTTAAGGTCCAAGTCACTGGGGACAAACAATGTTTATGGCTATCGCTAGTGATATCTGGCAACCTTGTTATCAGGGCAAAATGCAATCACCAATCAGTATTTCAACGGAACACTTGGTTTTTGATTCAAATCTGAAGCCTCTGAAAATATTAGGTTCAGATAAACAGGTGAGTTTATGTAGCCAACCAATTAGTACACATATTTATCCGCTGTGAAGTTGGAAACTAATGATGTTTTTGAATTGTCTACTCTCATGAAGATATTTAGGGTGATTCAACTCACGGCAAAAGCTCATTTTATTTCATAGAAATTTCAGTTAACTAAAGTTGTTGAGTACAATCGGTGTACTTTTTAGATATTTTCCACCTGCGGTTAGGATAATAAATTTTACCCGGAATCGTCTTTACATAGTACTCAAGGAAAACCGGACAAAACAAGGTAAGTTTTAAATGGATCAGAAGAGAGCAAGAGGAATGAGTCCTAAAAGTTTTCTCAGGTAACCTACACCTGAAATGCTATTTGACGGAAAAAATATGACAGCATTCAGCTGAACATGTAAAAAAACGTATCAGCCTTGGTGTAAAAATCGTAGTAAATGCTAAAATTTGTTTTAGGACAAACATTAAAACTATACGTTGTATTTAAAATTGCCATATAACTAAATAAAATCTTGAAACTATGGGAAGTTGAATTTCGTGATGTGAACCCCATGTTTTCATTCTACACAAGAATTCTCAAGACTGTGATGGTAATGCTGTTGGCAAGCAACACCAGATAAGTGTAATAATTCTGAGTAACCATTCTTCCTTCTTGTTCACTGATGCCATTTGCTCAAAATAAAATTTACGGAAACGCTTAAGCTGTTCTTAATAATCAGGTAAGCTATGTTGTTCAACCAACTGATTTAAACAGATTCAAATCCTAGACATAGTTCTTCACCCTCTTGGTGAAGTCAGGGTTATTCACTGACAGCTTAGTTCAATATTCCAATGTGGCTTCTCTTGTACTCTTTCGAATAAAAGTATGCTTAGCTGGGGAAATAAGGTATAGTAGGTACGAGCAAGATATTAGGAAATAACCGATTTGTGTAAATAGCAAACATACCGTTATTTTGATTCCAGCACAATAAATCTGGTAAACATGAAGTTTCTAACTGTAAACAACGGTATATATATTCAAGTTGGTTGTAGGTAATCGACAGGAAGCCTTGAACTTAGTTTCATGCTTTCTGGTACTCGTTAGACAGGGGTATCTGTCCCGCCTGAGATTCAAACCTGCGTCACCTAGCGACCAATCCTTTGAAGGACGGTGCTACATACCTTGATTGGTTAAGATGCTTAGCCTCCTAACTTGTTAGCCAAACTGCAGAAGTGATCGATATAATTCTGTCAGTACTGAGGACTAGACAACATAAAACTGGCTGCTCTCTCGCGATCGATCAATGAGAAATAAAATTCCCCGTGGTTTTAACTTCTGGACACCAGGTAATTGATTTTTGACTATAAGTCAATAAAATCAGTGTGTTTCCATCAAGATAAATCAGTAAATTATACTTTTTGAAGTGATTTTGTCTACAGTTTCTTTTTTGCTTGAACACTTATAGATTGATGTGGAAATAGTGAATACTGGTCAAGATTTACAGGTGAAAATTCTTGATTCAACAACATCAGTTATATTCAGTGAAGGTCCATTAGTGTATGATTATAAACTTTTTGGTGCGCTCATAAAGTTTGGTTCAAGATCAGATCGTGGTTCAGATCATCAAATAAATGGTGTTGCTTTTCCAGCTGAGGTAGGTGTTCATCATGATCCTAAAGTTATTTTTTTGATAGTTATCCTTCCCATTATGCCTATCAGTAAACCATAACCAGTCGAATTTCCAGGTTTTGACTGTTTATTTACTGATATCTACGTTGTGTAGTTCAAGAAATATTAAGTCTTTACGTTTACAACAAATTTCTTGCGAAGTTGAATAATAAATTCACATATGTTATCCTTATGAACTGCCTAAAATTTTCATCTACGAATACGTACAATAGGACAATGCATCAGTGTATAGACGGATTTTTCCATGAAACTATTCTCCTCTTACTAGGGTTGTAAAGTAGTTTCACGATTGACGTTTCTCAACACTTACAAAAAATAGTTTTCAGTGACCGGTCAATATAATTTTCGGAGATTTTTATCGTTTCCATTTTTCTTCGAAGTTAGTATACTTTTGTTCCAGCAGTTGAAAGAATTTCCTAGATTAATTTCAGATAGAATTTTAGAATTCCTAATTCTTAATGATATGATTATTGTTGTTCGTTTATTCGCTGCTAACCATGTAAAATAAATGAATCAGGAGATTGTTGTTATATTACTTGTAAGTTCCCTTTGCTATACAGGGCCGAATCGCTCGACATGTCACAAGACTGTTTGGTATTCATGATGTTATGTTGATCTTGGTGACTAGCAGAGGAATCTGGGACACGCAGGTAGTCCTATTTGAGACATATGAACAATATTGAGGCGTCCACATACAAGCCCAGCTGCCAAGAAAGGTCGAGCAATTCTACCGTGTATAAGAAAGGGAAAATACAAGTATCAATAATAACAACTGATAACCATTGCACAATATGTGGCTATCGTGCCCAGTAACCTAGTGGATAACGCTCTAGCCTTTAAAGCGATGGTCACCGGGCTAGAGCCTAAGTGAGAACAACATAACCTAGTTATGTGTAGATGCATACGGCTGACCAGTCCCAAACAGGACAAGATGCACGTCACGGATTTTTCTGTTCATCATCGAGGTCTATACGGAATCTTGAAATTCTTATACGATAATACATTTTTTAATTTTTACTGATTTGTGCAACCTAAGAGTAAATTATCTCAACAGATATGAAAACAGAATTTACAGAATGCGAATACTTCATTCGACTGGAGTCTCATTGGTCATATGACACCTGAGTTAAATGGTTCTCAGCATGTGAAAGCGAACACACCTTATATGCAGTGATTTTTCAATTTTGAGATTTGTAGATATTTCTCACTTAATTTCAGGTTGATATTAATTGCTTTCAAATAGATGAATACCAAACTGAATTCAATGAATAAATTCCCACAAACCTTAAAATTGAATGAATCTTGTGCTCATAAGTGACTAGCTTAAACACGAAATACATTAAGTTCTCCTTGAACGTTGTGACCGGTAGCACACACCATGTCAAACATAAAGACAGTTGCCCAACAACAGCATTGGATGGGGGTTACGCTATATCATGAAATGACAGAAATAGGAAATATCAGCCACTGGATTCCCACCTCATGGCTTAATGATGACGTATTGGCAGCGGAACCTGAAGTTTCTAGTTCCGATTCATGGTGTTGGGAGGTCGAGGGTCGTTACTACTTAGGAGTCCCATTCAAGGGCAGAACAGGTGTCCAGTGCCCCTGGATTTCCAATATTTCTGTCATTGATCTCAATTCATGATGTATATCAACCTGAAATTGAGTGAGAAATCCCCACAATCCTCAAGATTGAGTTAAAGTTTAGTTGAGAAACAATAATTGATACTTGGTTAGATAGAACTACTTATGTTTTATGGATGTTTAGGAAGATGATTGGCAGCGGAATATCCAAACACTTTTCCTATACACCTTAAAGTTGCTTTGATTTGCTTTGTATTGGTTTAGATTATTTGATGAAGCACACCATGATACATTAGTTTTGACTTTGCTAGTATTTTTCATGGGTTGAGAGAAATTGGAGAACCACTGAAAAGGGGCAAGCGATTGATGGCTGCTTCGCTTCGGTATGGATTTTCTAAGGCGTACATACTGTCGACAATACCTGGCATCATACTCAGGACTTTCAGGCCTTACAATGGACGTTTTAACTATTCAACTAGTAGTTTGACGACGAGTATCCCACAATTTCCTAGTTGTGATGTTATATGGTGGTGGATTCTACCTCAAAATTCAAATCCCCATTAATCTCAAGATGCACTTCTACATAGTGCTTATTAGTGACATGCTTTCAGACGGTTATCCCGAAGTTGGAATAAGAAGCCATGACTTGTGGGGTCAGAAATTTGGAAAGGAACCGGATGCCAACTAGAGATCTTAGGTGGTGGTCAGTCTATATCGTGAATTGACAGAAGTTGAAAACTGTGAAGCATTGAACTGTGGCGCAGTGGATGAGTGGTTAACGCGTTCGCCGTGGAACCTGAAGGTCATGAGTTCGGTCTCTGGTGAGGTTATATTGCTAAAGAATCCCATAATAGGAAGAAACGGCTGTTAGGTTTACAATGGTTCTACACTTTCAGTCCGTGATGAATACAACCTTCAAAAAATTAGTCTCTATAAGCCTCGAACTATGTTATTTATTTATTTATTTAGACAGTAAGCAATAATAAACCATTGTACATCTAATTAAATAAACTAATCTAATATGGAATGAGACAATAACACATTTCCCAGGTTCTATAATTATATTATTGTTTCAGTTTACAGCAAAGTGTGTTAACTGGGTAGTAAGATGTCCATGTAATCGTTTTGATACAACAGTTTTATCACTTAAAGAGCTAATCGGAGATCTGTCGGAAATTGATTAGTACGCTGTAGACATGAAGTTCCCCTTTTCATGGGGTTAAGTACTATAATTCACACTTCAACATCAACTTAACAATGAGCAAAGTGTTTCTTTGCTTCTGCTGTGAACCCTAACTTCATCCGGCTGCTTTTGTTCTGTAAACTAAGGATTGTTATCTCCTTAAGTCTATTAATATTAATATTGTATTCATGTAAATTTGCATATTACCTTCATTTGTCACGGAGTAAAAATGCTAGTCTGCTAAATCATGGGTATCTGTGACAATCAAAATGATAACCAATAAGATGCTCCCCCTCCCTAGTTCAGTTACATTTGGATTGGTATGAGAAGTCTTGACTGGCCAATCAGTATGAGTACGTTGGACAGGTAGCACTGCGTCACATGGTAGTTGGGCCAAACCCTTTTTGACCTAATTGAAATAAGAATATGGTCATTAGTGTACTCAGCCTCGTAGCTCGGTTGATAGAGCATCGAGTTGGAAACCTGCTGGTCCCTGATTCGAATCCGGCCGTGATTGAAATTTTTATTTCCCATTCCATCATCCATCATTAATTTGATATGATCAGAATAAATAATGGTCAATTTTATTGACTGTGTATGCAGTTACACTTCTACCTGATACTTTGTGTTCTTTACATCTTGATACTTATAACAGTGAAGTTGGTAAACATAACTATCTCTGAAATTTGTTCAGTGTTAAGTGTAACTATTGACAGATTCCTTTTATATTAGGTAAGGATCAAAGGTGAGTTGAAATTTTGACCGCTGCTAGAATCGAACTCGGGACTGCCGGATCCCCGGCCTGGTTCTCTGTACCGACTGACCTAGGAGGTCCGACTCTCGAACAGATTTTAATTTCACTTCAATCACCAAGGGTTTTACCGGACTACCAAAAAATTTGGGACGCGTTACTATCGTCTGATCGCACTCACACTGCATGCCTAGTCAAGACTTCTCATCCTATTTTAGTAAAGGGGATCAGATTGTACTGTAAGTTTGTCCCAAAATATCTCAGAGGAATTTTCCATGTTTGTACTCCTCGGAAAATCTATCAGACGATATGCTGGGAATTAAGAGTAGGAAAACAAGTCTTTATAGATGTTGTAAGTTAACAAGCAACTGCCCTCATAATATTTTTTGCTAGTTAAGATCAAGAGTTTACTAGAAACTAATGACGTTTTTTAATGATTTAAGTCAAAAAACAAACATTTTTACTCATGAATCCTTAGTGTTTGTGCTACAACTCACCTAGATACACGTTATGCAGTGGATTTTCCAGCCTATATATTAGATCTTTGGAATTTTATAAATCCCAGAGAATTAGACGCCTTAGGTGAAACACGCTTTAGGTTTAGATAGACTACCTGTCTATTTCAGTTCTCCTTGGGGGAAAGTAGTTGCCCTCTTCTCTGTCATTTACATGAGCACCCATTGGCTATTCAATGTCACCACATTTCATCACTCATTTTGATGCATGTGGATAATTGTGAACATGAATTCAATTTCGACAATGTAAAAATCTTGGACAGAGAAAACACAAGGAATATTAAACAATTACTGGGAGCTTGGCATTCAGGCCTGTCAGCAATCAATAAGTGTATAGACATCTACCCAATCTATCAACAAATGAGAAAAATGATAGACAATAGAAACGTCAGAAGTCAAGCAGAGGAACAGCCGACAGGAAAATCTGCGCACTCAATGACACAATAATCAAAGAAAACAACCCAATCACAAACCACTTCGTCAGGGCAAGCTACCAAACCACTCATAGAGAGATATTGACAGCTCACTTCATAGTGAAGTTAGTGCTGATGATGTCGTCTAGCAGGACGATGAAAGCTTCACGATTAAACAACCCAGCTCAGAGACCACAATACAATCAAGATAATCTGTCCACAGGTTGTAATTAATCCCACTAGCAAATTTTAAAATCTTCAAGTGTCGGTTTGATCGTCGGCAGTAGTTTTACTCGAAGTATCACTGAAAAAATAACATCGCTGTGCGTAAAGTTTTCATCAAAAATCTAGTCATCTTACATTAATCAGTGCACAAACTTTCATTGATATATATATTTGCCACAATCCTGTTTTCTCTGAGATTTTATTGATAAGAAATAACACTCATTTTTATCACTTTTCTTATGTTTCATTCAGTTACAGCTGTATGCATTCAACTTTGTCTTATATCCAAATTATTCTACAGCACTTTCCAAACCGAATGGATTAGCTGCAGTTTCGATATTTTTGAAGGCAAGTTTTGCTTAGTTTACATCCTTTAATTATCAGAAAAAAGCCAACCATATGTTTAATTGGAATTAATATCACATTGAACAATGCGCTATGTTGGGTGGTATCATCTTTTTAATTGTTTAAAATCCTTTTAACTTACTCATATTTATATCTTGTCACCTTCATATGGATACGTGCAACAAGTTGTGCTCGAAACGTCATACTACTTCACTGTAAGCTGTATCTAATAAAGAATAAGTTTGATTTTCTTTTTGAGCTGCGGCAAAAGGTAATGGTAAATTGGCACTTTCAATCTTATTATCTCAAAGGAACATTTAACTTTAAATGTAAGCAGCTTTACTGTCTTGAAAATGATTGGTATAAAAATGCGTAGGTTAAGTTAGTAAGTAGCACCTTGATTGCAAAACTACGAAAAGAAAATATACGCTTAATATTCAATGAAGTTACTGAATAAAGTGTTTTGTTTCATTGAATTTTGAGGGAGTTATGGGGATTTGGAAATTTTTTGAGTTGTTATTCATCATAGACTGACATCAGCCGGAGGAAGAAAGGAAACCTAGGAGTACTGGATAGCTGTTTCGTCCTATTATGAGACTCCTCAGCTGGGTGCATACACGACCCCACACTACCAGGGATCGAACCCGCAACCTTCAGGTTCCGCTGCCAGCGCGTTGCCATTGAGCCACTGGGTCACAATCCAATGGTCCATATTTCCAACTTCCGTCAGCTCACGATATAGCGCAACTGCACTCAGTGTCATCGTTGAGTAACTGTCCTCACCACCATCAAGCTTCGATAGTTTTTCCCAAAGTTCCAGTGAGAAATCGTGACCAGTGGGGGCAAAGTCTGATGGTAGTGAGAACAGTTACTCAACGATGACACTGAGTGGCGGTTGCGCTACATCGTAAGCTAACAGAAGTTAGAAATACGGACCACTGGATTCTGTCCCAGTGGCTCAATAGTAACGTGCTGGCCATGGAATTTTAAGGCCACAGGTTCTATCCCTGGCGGGGTCGTGTGTGCGCACTGCTAAGGAGTCCCATAATAGGACAAAACAGCTGTCCAATGCTCCCAGGTTTCTTTTATTCCTCCAACTGATGTCAGTCTATGGTGAATAACAACCTGAAATGTTTTGTTTCACTGAACTGATTATGCAGTATAACAAATTAGAGTATGCTAACTATTTTACTTACAGAAAAATAATCTGGAAAGATTTAGTGTATCTTCAGAGGATAATATAAGCTTTCAAGTGATTTTATGCAAAACAAACAAATAAAAGAGATTTTCAGCATCTCTTGTGATTAATGCTCAGTAAAATAACTGCAAATAGTTATATTCATAAGTTATGCATTGTTGGCTTATATAGTTACTTTGAACTAATGAGTCTCAAGTTCGAATCCTGTTTCAAGTACCATAATGTTAGCAAGCAAGCAGTATCATTAGGCCTAACAAAACAAACATAATTCATTGGTTATTGTATGAACTTACAGTAGCTGCTGAGATCATTTCCATTTCTTTTTATTCAGAATAAAACAAGATTGATACAAAGGAATAATTTTTTGGCGGAGTTTGCTTAAAGTACTGCTTGTATTTGAGTCCATATAATCAATATAGCAATAGATTGATATATTTCAGTTTAAATTTGTTTATAAAAGTTTTAAATGGTTTTTTCTTTGAAATTGAACTCTAATAGATCATCTATTTAAAAAAATTTATCGTGAATTTTGTTATGAAACATTTATAATTCAGAAATCATGATTATTTACAGTTTAGAAAACACGTTAAATACATAACCGAGCTTGACATTTAGCTAATTAATATATATATTCATTGCAACTAAAAAAATGTTTTCGTTCAGTGTTGATTACTGTTCCCATGCAAAATTTACAGACGTTTACGTTTTAAGCAAATATTTGTTAATAAAAGGGTACCATTGCATAATAAAAACCTTATCCTCAGAATTTGATGTCAGCTAACATATGATTGTTCGGTTATAAGAAATAATTCAGAATCATTTTTCTCAAATTATTTTTTTACAATTTATTCAACATCTGTTGATCAAATTCTCAGTAGTTGATTGATCATTTGACAAAACAGTGTTTTGCTAATACTTTGCTACATGCCTGCAAATAATGCAGATCAACAGAAGAAATAAGAATTCTGTAGACAACTGCAACCATTAAAGGACAAGACCCCACCCAAGATGGCGACATCAAAATTCTAATGGGCGACATGAATGCCAAACTCGGAGCGGACAATACAGGAAGAGCACTCATGAGTGAGGATGGAGAACTGTTTGCAGATTTCTGCGCATTCAGCGATTTGGTGATTGGAGGAAGTGTGTACAAACACAAGGATATTCACAATGCCAGTGACATGGATTTGATTTCACCAGATAGCAGGACACACTACACTGGAAATTAAATCGACTTCATGTGAATGTGAAGAAAGTGGAGACGCAGCCAGCCTACTGGACACAAGATCAGATCAAGAAGTGGTTCACATTACTCACTGTCTAGTGCAGGGAACCCACATTTACAATCAAGTTGAAAGCCTCCACAGAAGTTGGGGATAAACCATAGTTAAAGCCCAACACCCAGAACAGAGACTGAACTGAAGGACGAAACTACAGAGGATATCTTCACATGAGTCAGCCATCAGAAGAAAATGGGAGACTTGAGCAATATCCCCGAAGAAACCTGTGTGAATGAACACTGGAACTCTTTAAAAGCTATATGGAAAGAAACCTGCATAACAGTATTCGGAAGGAAGACGGAACAAGACAAGGAATGAATCTCGACGGACACATGGAAACTAATAGATGAGGGAGAGGAAGATGGTGAAACAGAAGATGAACCGGTGCAGTGGAGTGCAAGGATGAACAACGAAAAGAGGAACTAAACATAACCTATAAAACACTAGACTGGACAAGAAAAGGAAGGAGAATACCCAGAAAGACAAAAGACACATTGGCGAGTGAAGCAGAACAGGCTGCTGATAGGAGAAACCTGACAACTCTATATCAAATAACTAGGTCACTATCTATTGTGAGATCAATGCAGATGAGACCAATGAATGATGGTGACGGAAACCTAGTCAGCAAAGAGGAGAAACAAAAGAAATGATAAGCTGATCACTTCAAAAGCTCTTAAATCAACCACCACCTGTAAATCGTCCAAAATACCACCAGCAGCCCAGCCACAGAATTACCGGTGAACACAAACATTGTAACAAAAGTAGAAGTGAAGTCGAGAAAGCCATAAAACTTCTAAAATCCAGGAAAGCAGCATGGATAGATGGAAGTCCTCTGGAAGCACTGAAAACAGACGCAGAGACAACAGCGAACATCACTATTGCAGAAGGCTTGCAAGGAAGGAAAGAAAGGTACCTACGTATAGATTGGAAGAAGGGTCACCTTCCAAAGAAGGGAGACCCATTTCTTTATAGCAACAGGTGAGGAATCATGCTCCTGTCCACCCCGCATCACACTGGAGAGACTAAAGGATGCGCTGGATTCAAAATTACGACGGGAACAGGCTGGCTGGCTTCAGGAAGTACGAATCATTTGCTGATCAAATTGCAATGCTACGCTATACATCATCATAGAACGGAGTATAGAATGGCAGTCAACTCTCCACCTTATCTCAACTCCATCGACTTTCAAAAGGCCTTTGACAGCATCGAACGAGAAGTAATTTGGCAGTTGATTTATCACCACGGACTACCACGAACCTTAATCAATCTCATTCAATAGTTATATGAAGATGTCACATGCCAAGTGATTCAAAATGGAAAGCTCAGTGACGCCAATGAAGTGAAGACAAGAGTAAAAAAGGCTGCTGCCTACGATCACCAATGATCTTCCTGATTGTGGTCGACTGGATTATGCGGCAAACTGTGAGGAGCGAGAAGATAGGCATACGCTGTTTAACCGATGAAAAGACCCTAGAACATTTGGATTTTGCCAATGATGATTTATGTCTAATATTGCACAAACCCGAAGGCCTATAGGCAAAAACCAACAAGTTGACGGAAGAGGCGAGGTGGCGAAGATGGAACATCCTGCAGGTGAACGCAAAGAAGACAGAAGTGATGAAGATACCTAACCACCACCGACAACAACAAGCACCATCAACGGGAGAAACTTAGAGGTAGTAGTCTCTTTCACCCACCTAGGAGGCAGCATCGCTTCAACTACAGGCGGATCAGGCATAGATGAGGATGTCAAAGCCTGTCAAGATCGGAAAGATAGCAAGGTAGGCTTTCACCAATCTGAAATTAGTGTGGAGATTTACTGCACTCAGCATAAAGCGTGAACAAGATGCAGGATTTTTAGCACCAGTGTCAAGTTAGTGCTTCTGTGTGATGGCTGAGAGACTTGGCGCGTTACGAAAATTATTCCCAACAAACTACAGACATTCATCAACAGCTGCCTCCGACGCTCACTCAATACTGAAGATAGGAATCAGATGGCCAGAAAGAGTAAGCGACGAAGAGCTGTGGCTAGCTGGTAACGAACCAACCAAGAACCTATCGCTCAACAAATATGCAGAATAAAAAGGTGGAGATGGATTGGGCATACGCTGAGAAGGCGAACTGAGGACATTACTTTCTAGTCCAGGCCAGGATGTCGAGTGGAATCCAAAAGGAAATCGGCTAGTTGGGCGTCCTAGCTGAGGGTGACATGTATTAGATGGTGTGAGGAAGAAATGAAAGCTTGTGGGCAGTGGTGGAGCTGATTTGAGAAGACTGCAGAGAAGAGAGTGAAATGTTGACGCGCTACTGAAGCCTTATTTTCCACTAGAAACACAAGGGACAAATTATAATAAATAATAATACTTATGAGCTGAGCTGAAGGAAAAATAAATAATAAAGAAATATGGAAAACTGGTGCACTAATAATTTTTTTTATCTTATCAGAGGCTTTCTAAATGCGGCTTCTAATGATAATAAATTGTAACTTTGTGTTACTTGCAGAGTGTTATATAGTATTGATAGATTGTGGCCAACGTTTGAATCGACGACCTGCGTTTTGTCCAATTTAAGATTCATCAGTTGGACATTCTCGCCTCTCAGTAAGTGATGTTGCTCTCACTGAGGGTAGAACCAGGGACAAATCACTTTAAATGCAAGAGCATTCAGTATCCCCTAGGCTAGTGAGTTACAATATCCACTTCTTGTCTCGACCGATTTGGTCGGATCAGCGACGGTAAGGAAAAATGGTGTTATATTTTACACAACTATATGCTAAGTAGCTATAAGATATATTTACATGTGACGGACGGTGTCTAAAAGCAGTCTGTATTGAAATAACATATTTATTCAAGATGTAACTGAATGCTGCACTTGTTCAACACAAACAGTTCCTATTTCATAGGATCTTTTCATAATGGTGTTCTAATCTGCAGGATTCATTGCATAAATTTTTGAGCAAAGTCTTATCAGACAATTCCGCTTTCGGTTATCAACAATTCTAACGTGTAGTTAATTTTTCCCTAGGATACATAACTGTTCGATATTTTCAGTAAGACACATCTCATAGAAACATTTCAAAACTGCTGACAATAGCAGAAATTTAGTTGGATTGCGTTAAAAATTATTGAAATTCCATAGACTTTTTACTCACTCAATATTACAGTATAAGTAAGAAAAGCCAATGAAACAGTTCAATAAAACAATTGATACCAAATGAGAAAAATCATGCAAAATAATGATAAGAAGGCTAAAAAATCACAAATAAAACGTTGACCCAATGATGTCTTATATACGCCTGCTAAATTATTATTTTTTTAGATCAATGTTTGACGCCAAATAGGTTCAAAAGTGTATTGTCTGTGGTGAGTTTATTTTTATAGTGTAGTTCAACTCCTTACTGGTAATTATGGTGAGATGATTTGCAATGGAATCAATCATACAAAGTTAGCTATGAATATTCACTGTCTTTAAGGAATTAGGCAGTGGAAGAAAACAATGGCATCACTAATAAGTTTCATTTTGAACATAATTTATTTCGTAACAAATAATCTTAAACTGGATCGAGTAACTTAGGATAATTCAAAGTCCTCAAATCTATTTTGCAGTCTTGTATGATTAGACTGGCTGGATTTGAAACTTTGATTTCATAGACTATTGAATATTAAAAAAATATACGCATATACAGTGATATTGAAAGGAAATTGTTTATGTCAGCACGTGTTACCAGTTTGTAAACTGGTTAAGCACTACAAGTGAGTTAACCAGCACAATATCAACTTGCTATAAGAGATGTCTTTTGATACAATAAAATATCAGATGATTCCTACAAAGTATATTTCTTTTCAAAATGTTCTTCTAGGTTGGTGATCAGTCATCAGCTGATTTAACAGCTTTATTATCCACAACAGAACAAGTTCAACTGAAAGGTGAGTTGTGCAGAATATGTGGTAAAATGACCTTTTAACTGAACACTGAGAACTCTGCTCTCGATAATGCTTGTACTTATAACTTTTTATAACTACCACTAGACCGTATTAAAGATATGTGACAGAAACTTTAGTAAAAGAATCAAAGGCATACTTTAAGTATATTTGGTCCCTTTTGTGAACGCACTGCTAGAGTTTTTCTTCCACTGGTATTCAAAATTTACTGGAAATGGATTTTTATAGATGGATTTTTCATTTAGCATTTATCACTATATTGTTTAACAATTTCTGGCTTTTTGTGTGGTAAACTTGACACCAAAATCAAACTCATGTTTTACTGAGTCGATCAGAATTTTATAAATGTTTAAAACTCTGTAATTAAAACAAACATTTTGATTCACAGATTTTATTCAGTTGGTAAAAAGTCAGTAAAATGAATCAGGAAATCATATCATATTTAGGTGAGCACTTTCAGAAAACTGTGTTAGTCTGTTCTCCATTAGAAATTCACTTCTACTATAACTGATTTAAGATATTGTTCAATTTTTATGATTAGGTGAAATCTAAAATTCAATAATTCATATATAAGAACATATTCTAGTCGTTGTAGGCTTATATATTGAAGTGATGAATTTGTAAAATTGTAACCGATGCTTTGTCAATTTTTTGAAAGGAGGTTGTATTACAGTCATCAGTTTGCGGAATACCAGTGGAATTGGGTTCATCAGTGAATTTACGTTATCAAGCCTCTATGTTAGACCAGTATAGGCATCCATGGTGTTCATACTATCTGTGCTAACAAAATATACGACAGAAAATCATTGCCGAAAATTGTCTAATGTTTCTTTCCAATTAAATCCCCTTCAGGCTTTACTCTAATACAAACAGCTTTATATATATATATATATATATATATATATATATATATATATAATTAAACCAATCATGTAGATTTGTCGGTAGATGTGATAAATGTTTCATATAACGATGACATTAAAGGCTCTCAACGAGTACCTGAAGTACAATGCTAGACTCGATAATGTTTCTTTTCACTTATAACCTCTTCTGCATGAAGACGACACCGTCAAAGTACTGAAGCTTTGGATGCACGAACTTCTTGGAAAATATTTCTATTTTAAAAGTGTTATTAGACGTGGTTTTTAGGAATTTTGGACTTCAGAAGGATTTTAAGTGGAAATTGTTTAACAGAAGTGTAACTGCTATTTCGAGCTGAATATAACTTGTCAAATACTGTACATTTATTTTTCTGTTGATTTTGAACCAAACTATAGATACTTGTTTTGCTCATCACATCTGTAGATAAGTTTAAAATGGACTTTAGTTAGAATATTAGTTTGACCATTACAAAATTTGAACATTCATTCTTGAGTTGGGCAAGACAATATCTTCATTAGCTAGGGTAACTACTCCTGTGTGTATACTTGAGTTAAAAAGATCTGGTAGAATATAATCCTAAAATTCAGATGGTTTAAAAGTATCTTAAATGTAACTTACCTATTTATTTTTACCCTGATCATAGATCAAGTTAGTTGAACAGTTCAATAGACATAAAAAGTTCTTGTGTGAAGTTGTTCGTGTGAAAATTGGTTCATTTGTGAGTTAAAGCGTATAGGGATTAATTTTGCCTTCTAAAAACCAATAATAATAGTAATAATCGTTCATTTTAGTGAATGTATTAAATATGCCACATTTTCTTGCATTCAGTAAAGGGTATAAATGTAAAAGATTAAGTCTTTTTTACAAGGATATTTGGCTTTTCCTTATAAATTTAAAAGTCTGAACACACTGTTACTCTTACTGAGTGAACTATAGTGCCAGTCTGATTTGTATATTTAAGTGTTCCCAGATTCTTAGAGTAATTAGTTTCTTAACGAACCGTTTCCATTTAGAAAAAATAAATTTCACCTTTATTCACTAAGATACAGTGAATATTTTTTTAGAAATAAAGAATTTGAGCTAGTTTCATTATTCACGTTAAATAAGATGACATTTTTGTGCAAATTATTTAAAATGTAAGATTTATAATACTCTAGTTTATCAACAAATCCACTTTTGACTTCACAAACTTAAAGAAAGTAGACAGACTTTAAAACTTAAGTGACTAGTTTGCGTGATTTTATAAACTTTTAATTATTTTATTTTATTTAAAAGGACAATTCAAGAGATTGCATGGCTTAATATTGGACGCCATTATACCACCTGTTTTTCATTATATGACTTATCAAGGTTCCTTACCTTTTCCTGCCTGTCATGAAACAGTCACATGGATCTTGCTGAATCATCCTATTGTAATCACAGATACTCAGGTAAGCCTGGTAGTATTTTTATATAGATTTTTGCTTTGGTTTATTCTAAAGATGTCCATCAGAAGCTAACACAAATACTCATAGGATGAAGATACTCGAAAAACCTGAAAATAAATTTTGAAGTGTTCCATATCTCTTACCTGTTTGAATCTGGGAACACAAATAAAAAGGATAAAATGTAACTAGACAAAACTAATTACATTTGTCTACGTCTTCATGCAGACTAAATATTGAGGAGTTATCTAAATATTTTCGTCAAAAACGTTAATCATTTGACTATGTGAGGTAACCGTGATTTGACAGACAAGTATTGATACTGGGTGATAATTGTATGTGAAATGAAAATTTAGGCTGTTACCAGGTTTAAGCCAGCAATCCTGGGTTTCCTGCCCGATACACTGCAAACTTAGCTAAGGGGTCGCTGGTTCGGGCTCAACCAAAGCCCAAATTTTAGTTTCACAGTCACTACCCAGTATAAAAAAGTTATAGTTTATACATATCTCATTTCAAAGTAACTAAATGAAAAGAAATGTTCTGATATGATCATATGTGAAATCGGACATCAGTTGTGTTCAAGTAGAATGTAACATAACAATCAATGAGGTGCTCCATTTTAAACAATAATCAAAGTCTAATGAGAGAAGTTGGTATAAGTGGTAAACGTTTGTGGTACACCTTTTACAGTATATGCATGGCTTAATGTACTAAGATTTTTCTGTGTATATTCGGAGCTGATTACACAGGCCACATAAAGCCTCTTCTAACCAAAGGACAGTGTACAGCTGCCTAAGACTTAACTTTTGAGCATTTGGTTGTCTCAAACTACTGTATGCCAAAAGAGTCCTCTTTCAAAGTCACTTATAAGGTGAACTCAGACATCTTAAAATAAGTGCATATTAACCACCTTAACACAGCAGAGGCTTTAGCAATCTAGAGGTACACACTTGATATTTACTTTCGAAAAAGACACATTCAGTCTCTAGTTTTGCCTGGCGGTTATCTCCCAACGACAGTCTATTCATTTCTGTGTTTATTTAACATAATCCTTTGAGTAATTCCTGATGATATTGGGTTGACGTTCCAGCCGTTATCATCCTGCGACTTTACTGACAGTTTTCAATGACCTTGTACTGACCTATTAGTCATTGATGAACACATACGTGTTTTGTTGTAAGTATGATTACGATGCACAGCGTTTGAAAATGGCTTGTTGAAAAGAAAATTTTCTTCACTGGATTATCTTTTACTTTCATTTTGCGTGTGGTAATTAACAAATGAAGACTTAATTTAGAAAAGTAATCAGTCACTAAATGTCTACATTATTAGTTAACATTTTACTTAGAGAAACTAGGCAGACATGATACGGTATGGCAACAAACCACATAAATTTTATGGTAACTTTTTCATTCATTGAATTTCCAGTCCATATAAGCTTAAAAAACCTTAAAGCAATCCCAACAAAAGAAGTGTGATATGACGTGATCTTTCAAAACTTACTATTTGATCTCATGTGATTCAAACAAACAGCCATCAGTTAAAGTTATGAAACAAACGCGTCACATTCTGTGAAGTCGTTGTGTCATGACAAGAAAAGGTGCACTACATTTTAAAAGTACCATCAGCGTACTTTACGCTGATTTATCTGAATCAGCCCTTTTTGTAAATGAAAAGCAAGTGCAGGCCATTTCACATAACCTTACCACCTATCAGTTAAATGATCAGAAGTACCTCCACCTAGATGTAACAGTCGATTTTGCACATTCGCTGGGAACGATACAACATAAGGTTCAATTGTAATTGAAAGGATACAAGTGAACTAGTTTCATATCTCATGCCATTAATGTTAACTTTATGAAATTAACACCTTCAAAAAAGAAATACACATTCTTAAAAAACTTGAAAAATACTTGAATGCAAATAGTAATGTGCCTAGCAGGACAATCAAATATAGGAAAGCTAGTGACTTGGTACTGCCACTAAAAGTTTTGTCATTAAGGGTAAAAATCTTGACAGTATGATAAATATAAAGAAATTACTGGAAGTTTGTCAAAATTTATTTACTATCCACTTGAGGAATAGAGAAAGCACACTTTTACGATCTCAAAATGTTTGGATGAAAAATGTTTTAACTCGGCTTTAATTATTTTACAATATATAAGTTAGTTTGATTAACTGAGGAAGGACACAATTTATCGCAGTAAATGAGTATCAAATGAACCTAGAAAATTTACAAACCTAGAAAACAATCAATTTGGAGGTGTGTGAAGATTGATTTCAAGGATAGGTTAACATCAGGGACTGGTATCAGTAGGAAAACCATTTGTAACCTGAAATGAATTTACAACTGTTTATTTTCTTATTATTATTTGTCCTCGGGGTTCCTAGTGGAAAAGAGGGCTTTAGTAGCACGTTGTCATTTCATTTCCTTCTCTGCAGTCTTTTCAACCTGGCTCCACGACCGCCCACAAGCTTTCATTTCTTCCTCACACCATCTCCCTGTGTCACCCTCAGACGCCAACTCGTCGTTTCCCATTCGGCTTCCGTTCGATGGCCTTACCTGGCCTGGCGAGTGATGTCCCCAAATGGTTTTCACAGTGTATGCCCGATCCATCTTCACTTTCTTCTGAATATTTGTTGGGCGATGAATTGTTGGTTGGTTTGTTGCCAGCCAGCCAGCCAGCCAGAGTGCCTTGTTGCTTATTCTTTCCGGTCATCTGATCTTCAGTATTTAGCGAGCATGGGCAGCGGACAGCTGTTTATTCCTGCTATAATCAGACTTTATAGCAGTGCACATTAGCGAACCAACGATCGTTAGGCCTCATGGCAAGCACGTTGTTATTAAAGCACATTGCCGAAGTACAGTGGTCTAAACTTTAGTATGATAAGAATGAAATCCCTCATGCATGCTAACGTGCCAACAGTTGATATATTATATGTCTACAGAAATGATGTACGCCACAAGCTTTATTACAATTCCCTCTTTTGTATGCACTTTGGTTTATCAAATCTCTTTTTAAAAATATATCGTAGATAAACGTGTTTTATATTCAGACTTTCACTTTTCTGTAATGCATTCATCTGAATAGTTAAAATCACTTCGTCAACTTCGAATTGCTCAATTTCGAGGATCTGGTAGCATGGCGGATAACTATCGAACTATTCAAAAACTTAACAATCGTTCAGTTCGTACCAACATTGACTTTGTACAGTCTGTAAGTTTCACAGTTTCAGGTTTCACTGTTTTTCAACCTCTATCACATCACATGCCATGAACATCTATCAGTATTATTTATTAGCGCCAAAAAAGACAGCAAGACAGGCCTTCCTGCTTTAATCTAAAATCAGTATGCAGATCTACTGCACCGCACTGCACTGCACTCAGCATGAAGCGTGAACAAGATGTGGATTTTCAACACTAAATCAATCATGTCAGTGCTTCTATGCGATGGCCGAGAGACTTGACACGTTGCAAAAACCATTTCCATCATATTACAGTCATTCGTCAACAACTGCCGTCTACGCTCACTCGATACTGAAGATCAGGTTGGGTGACCAGAAAGAATAAGTGAGGAGGGACGCTGGCAGGCAGGCAGGCAGGCTGGCTGGTGGCTGGCTGGTTGGCTGGCATCAAAGCAACGAATCAAGAACCTGTCGCCTAACAAATGTGTAGAATCAAATTGAGATGGATTGGATTAAGCATAGACTGAGAAGACCGATTTGGGTCGTCATGTGTCAGGTCGTGCCAGGCTTTCGAGTGGAACCTGCATGGGAAACGGCTAGTTTGATGTCCGAGGTTGGACTGATATCATTTGGGGAATCATCGGAAACCTGGGAGAACTGGACAGCTATTTCCTTCTAGTATGGTACTCCATAGCAGTGCACACCATGACCCAACCAGAGGTCGAACTCAGGACCCTCAAGTCCCGTCTCCAGCACGTTATCATTGAGGCAATTCATCTAAATCCATCTGTCTATATTTCCAATCTCTTTCAGTTCACGACGTAGCGTGACCTCCACCTGATATCGTCGTTGAGTGTTTGTCCTCACGACCACCAGGTTTACCCCACCGCTAACGACTTCTCATTGGAAATTCGAGAATCACCTCTAAGATAGTCACCCATGAGCACTAGATCAATTGAATTAAGCGGATTGTGGGGGTTTTTATCGCTATTATTATTATTACTTTCCACTGGGTTCCTAGTGGAACATGGCGCTTCACTAGCACGTCTCCATTGCACTCTGTTCTCTGCAGTCTTTTGAACCTCGCTACACGAATTCCCACAAGCTTTGGTTTCTTCCTCATATGATCTCTTTTATGCGACCCTTAGCTTGGACACCCGATTTGCCGATTTCCCTTTGGATTCCACTCGACAACCTGGCACGTGACGTCTTCAGTTGGCCTTCTCAGTGTATGCCCAATCCATCTCCACTTTCTTCTTCTGCATATTTGTTGAGTGATAGGTTCTTGGTCGGTTCGTAACCACAGTGAGTTCCTTGTTGCTCATTCTTATTGTTCTGGCCATCTATCTGATCTTCAGTATCGAGTGAGCGTAGGTAGTAGCTGTTGATAAATGTCTGTGGTTTATTGGAAGTGCTTTTCGTGACGCGTCAAGTTTCTGAACCGTATAGCAGCACTGACTTGTTGATGTTGAAAATTTGCATCTTGTTCATGCTTTGTGCTGAGTGCAGTAGATCTCTACATTGATTTCAGGTTGATGCAGGAAGGCCCGACTTGCTGTCTGTCCGATCCTGGCTGTCTTTGACACCCTCATCTATGTTTATGCCACCTGTAGTTGAAATGATGCTGCCTCCCAGGTGGTTGAAAGAGACTAGTTATTTTAGGTTTCTCCCGTTAATGGTGATTGGTGCTTGTTGTTGTTGGTGGCGGTGGTGGTGGTTGGGTATCTTCATCACCTGCATCTTCTCTGCCTTCCCTTGAAGGATGTTCCGTCTTCGTTGCCTCGCCTCTTCTATCAACTTGTTAGTTTTCGCCTTTGTGTGACATTAGACATAAATCATCATCGGCGAAATCCAAATCTGCTAGGAATTTAGTGATTTTTTTGGAAAAACAAAGTGAAAAGCAACTTGATAACAAAATCATTAAACCTCTATAAATTCCTAAATTCAAAAATTTTGTAATTTCCAGTTGATCTTGTAAATTATGTAAATAGACAGCAGTGGGGCTTTAAGCATAAATTTGAACAAATAAGAAGTAGAGTAATATATGGCATTTTCGAAGACAGTTTCAAGGCGGAAACGAATAAGGAAAGTTTATGAACTTTTCTATAAGATGAGTTGTTTTCAGTTGAGACAAATTCAGTATTCATCTGTATTAGCTGCTTAAGTATGTGACAGTTTAAACAAAATTAATGAACAGTGATTTATTATATTTAAGAGAAATGAAATAAAAGTTTGTGTATTATGAATATAAGAAACCTTTATTCTAGAAAGAAAAATACTTTTTGAGAAACAATTACATTAATGTTAATAACAAGACTGAATTATTTTCTGTATTAAATTCTGTTTAAAAGTTGATGAAATCAGTTATGTTTAAAGAACTCAATAAGTAACCCTAACCCAAGTAATCTGTTCAAAAATGTATTTTGAAATCTTACTTATGAGCACTTTTTGGAATTTCAGCATTCAGTGCTATACAATAGTTCTAAAAAATATTTATACCAATTTTTGTATGAGTTATCAAAATCTTTAGCTACAGATATATAAGTATAATCAAATATTTTCTAGGTTACACTACTTTCGAGGGAACATTTTAGGCAGAATAACACTTGAAACTTAGAAATCACTTTCACTCACCATCATTCGCCCCTTGATAAACTTCTTTTTTTTCTTCTAAAACCTATAAATGTTGCTGTTCTTAACTTGAACCTGTAAATGAGGTCTAAATTAAGATATCAAAACTATAAATTGACGCTAGACGTTTATTGTGTTGATTCAAAACGCGCTAAATAAAACGTTTAGCCCTTTTTTATATAGTAAAATTGTCTTTATTAGCAGTAAATGTTTTTGTGAAAGATTCTTAGTAATTAAATCTTAGTATCTGAACTTTAAATTTTCCTATTAACTTTATGCTATGCCTAGAAAAAACAGTTGAAAAATTTACTTAATTCTATAATGTAACTATTAACTTGATTTTCCTCCGATTAACATTTCCGTAAATTTTATTTGGATATCCATTTACGAAACTTAACACAATTATGTTATAAGATTACATAGAATTCGATTTTCATAGTTAAATAGTACACTGTGTGATTTTTATTTTATTTTTCCAAGCAACCTTACTGTTCAGTGCAGCCTAGAATATCTTATACGGGTAAGATAAAAGTGCTTCAGTTTCTGTTGAATTATCAGATTCTTTTTTGAGTAAAGAATAATGTGCATTGAGAAATACATGACTATTTGATACATGCTGCTGCAGAAAAGTTACCTTGAGCAAACACAAGATAACTATTTACTTACTTACGCTACTTTCAGAGAGATAAAAAAGTTAGTCCGAATAAATCTACTTACAACTTCTTTGTCTGAGCATTAAATGTGGACTGAAAAGTTTTTCTGGATGATCGACTTTTAGAAGTAAAAATATTAGGGATAATTTATTGACCTTCATTTTACTGAACAGATGTGCAGTAGATCTCAGGAGTGAAGAAGTATTCCACGGTACATGAGCATCAAATTAGTGGATGTGAAAATGACAGTGGGACACTATTTTATGTATACTATTTCTGTCTGCATTAGACATTTTGTTAGTTAGGTGTAAGTAATCGTGAGAATTTCATGCATTGAAATGGTAAAATTCCTACATATCTAAGATAATAAATCTTACCGTTACCATCGGTGAGGTACATCAATAAATACAGCGTGTGGTGAAGTGACTGAAATCTTTTTCAAGTTGTTTGATTTTTCGTCATATAAGGTTGATAAACATAACAGTTCTGCTCTCATAAATATAACTGGCTATAAACTTGAGGTATTTGTCTGAATCATGGTGGCACTTTCACTTCAAAATTAAGTTTGCTATATCTCATGAAGGGTTGATTACAGTTGAGTACAATCTGTAAGGACTTTTGTAACCTCTCATTATTCTAGCCAAGTAATTAACTGAGTAGTTTTTATGGTAATTTACTTGATTGTGGCTAACAGAAGAATCTAGCATGCGCGTGTCCATCTATTTGGGACCCATCAGCTGGATGTACCTGCATCCTAGTGAGTGATTTTGTTCTCACTGACACTCGAACTTCGTAATCATTACTTCAAATGCAAATCCGCATCTTGGATTCTGCTAGCCACAACCAAACAAAATAACCATACTTAACAATCAGGCAATATCAAGGTATCCATTTAGAGGCCCAATCGCCTGTAGGGGTCGAACAATTTAATCCTGTAAAACAAGGGAGAATTACAAGCATATCCATATATAGTATTAAATAGTTTTTTTTGTTAGTAAAATGCTTTTCTTAATGAATATGAGCTATTTAAGAGAGAGTAATTCAGGCCACATAATATTCATACTTAAAGTACACATTTCACATTTAATCAGTTAAAAAAATGTTTTTTTTTAAGAAAAAATGAAAACTTTTTCCTGAATAACATTTTGCCAACAATATGCTTATAAATACTTTTCTATATATTTTTTTCATATGGAAATGAATTTGACGAATATTATTTCAATATGATTTGAACAATAATGTTAACCCTAACACTACATTATGGTCAATAACAGCATTATTACCTTAATGATTAGTCAAGATCAAGAAAGAATATCTTGAAAAATTATGATTATCTGATTATATCATAGAATATGTATTATAACTGTATGTTCAGTTTATACTTATCAATTTCCGAATCCTTTCATATATAAAAATTTCTTGCCAATAAAAAAAAGCTTTTTACAATTTTTATTATGTCACTTTTCAAGATTTAAATATGTTTCTCTGTACAATGAATGGTCATGATTCAGTTTGGTACAAAAAAAGCATACTTCTGCACAGAATCAGATATGTACACACAATATCTTGATTATCTACCTCTTGCCCAATGTTAGCTATAAATGTATGCCAAGGAGTTTATACAAATCAAACAAAAGTTGTTTTTCGTTAAATTTTTGTTAATTATGGTTTTCCTGGCTTCTAAAGTCATTAGAAGTATTTTCATAGCCTCTAAGTATTGTTTCGGAAATCTATATGTGTAAATTTGTTTTGTTTAATAAATAAATATGTATATATTTTAAGTGTTGTTATGAATTCCTTAAATTTCTACTTGTTATAAATGTATAATTTTCATCATGTATTCTGAGATGATATAGATGATACCCTGGAATAGAAGATGCATATGAACTTACTACTTATGAGTAATGTAATAGAATATACAACTTTTACGTAAAAGAATAAGGTGTTTATTAGAAATATGAACAATGAAACATAAAAATTATTTTAAATCAGTATTCTTGTTGAGGACAAGCAATATTTAAAAAAATAATAATAATGGCTTCATCTTGTAAGCTATTTCGAGAATACTCTACAGAATTTTCAAAACGTCGTATAGCACCAGTTGGATAGAGATAGTGTATATGTATACATAGAAAAATGAAATAAATGGAAACTATATGAAGAAAAGATAAAAATATTCTCTCTGTCTACAACTTTCTTCAAACTCCATAGTCAATTTGGGTAGATAGCCACACTGGCAATTTGATTCGTAATACGTAAAAAGTAATACGCTCATCTTCAGTTGGTTTGCTTTCAAAAACAAAAGTTGATTAGTTAGTTCATCTCTTATACTTTGTTCATCATACAAGAGACGAACTGAACATGGTATTATGGAGTTTTTATACTTTACGGCACGTGCATACGGTCTTATGTATTTGTTTCTCATCTTTCCAGATGACCAAAACGCAGAAAGCTTTAAGTGAAGAGGATATTGGATACCTAAGAAAATAACTCCTTCAAGATGTTAACATGAGTTAATGTCTTTGTCCACAACAGTTTTAATTAGAAGGTTTAGGACTGCACCTATAGTTCTGCAAACAATCTTCAAAGTTCTACGCAAGATAGCACAGTCTTTATTCAGTAACCCAGCAAAAAATAACAGGGAACAATAGAGGAGAACAGGCAAGATGCTAGAGTATATAAAACAGAAAAAGGGTGGTTGAACAATATCAGATACTCTCGGCTTTTTAATATAGAGGGTTAAGCGGAAAATTCTTTTGGAAATTAGTGAGATGTGAAAAGACCAGGAAAGGTCCGAAGAAAAACACACTCAGATAAATCACACTTGTAACATTCTCTAACGCACAACCATCGATAGAACAGAAATAATGAGAACTAAGCAGTTTACATAAGTCATGTTCACATCTAAAAATAAATTAGGTATGGGACCATTCACGGAGGATCAGTGTCTAACAGTAGATAGGAAATCATTGAGTTGGGAGTAATCTACTGAAGAGGAGATAGGTATGGAAACTGTCAGGTTATCAGCATATTCAATGAAATTGATGCCGGCTGAGGATTGTAGGTTATGCAGAAAGAAGCGATGGCTCCTTGGGGCACTTCAGTCACATCAAGCAATGAGGTAGAGTGCTGTTTTCTATCACAGAAATAAGAATACAGCCAGCTGATTATCCAGGATTCAGTATTTGTCCTGGTTAGCTTGTCCAGCAATAGAGGTTTGGGACAGATTCAAATGCTGAAGTGAAGTCTAAACGAAATAATAATACTGGGTGCTGATTGAATATGAAATGAAAATTTGAACTGCGGTCACATTCGAACCAGCGACCACCGGGTTTCCAGCCGAATGCTCTAGCAACTCAGATACGAGGTCCTCATGGGTTTTGCCCGACTAGCGTGTGAATTCATGACGCGCTACTACCGCTTGATCGTATTCACGCTGGCTGTGTAGTCTGGACATTTCATACCAATCCAAATGTAACTGAATTAGAGAGGGGGAGCATCAAATTATTTATCATTTGGCTATCTGAGGTAGCAGTGATTTGGCAGACTAGTATTTATACTGGGTGATGATTGAATGAAGTACACCGGTCTCATCCTCTAAAGAATCGACCAAATAAATACGATGATGTTCCTTTGAGTTACTTATTTTTACTTTGACTAAAATTATTCATTAACCGGTTCACAATGACGAAAGATATTTTGTCGGTGTGCACAAGAAGTACACAGAAGAGATGAACTATAACTGAGTTGTTGATTTTGTACTCTTGTCGCCCCTGTGCAGTACTCATATCAACGAATTGAGGAATATGATTAAAACTCTATCCTCCAAATTAAGTAGTGTACACGCCATGGCATCCATGCAAACTATAAATGTTCTTTAATAAACAATTGAAACGACTATGAGTTGGTTTGAATTTACATTTCCACACGTGCTAATTTTCTCCTTAATTAATTTAGACATGAAATTATTTGGACGTTATCAATGGAGTAATAAAACAGATTATGCAAGAATATGAGTTTCAGCTAAGACACATGTAGACTTCTACGGGACATCTGCCGTTGTCATTATAATTTGGTAAACTACAGGGCTTAAAACATCAGTCTCTGTCCCACTAATTTTAGTGCTTCCATTCATAATTGTGAGAACTATTCTATATTTGACGCATTTTCGTGATTCATGCAAAAGTTGTGGCAAACAATAAAATCCACTGTCAACGATCACAAATGTTGAATTAACTACTATAATTCCTGCAATGTTTAGAGATAAATAAATGTATAGCGGATAATTTCCTACTAGGCATAATAACTGTAATAAGTGTGGACTTTGTGTATGATATTCACCGGTGTGCTAATCACTTTGTTCAGTGGAATTAATTTCAACTTATATCAGGCTGTTTTGTAGCAAGTCATTGCAATGTATACAGCTTTAATCCCATTTGAAATGAATAGCTTCTGCGATGTGATATATAATCTCACTTAAACCTTTGAAAACAATTCGGAGATGAAAACATCTTTATCTTGCTTCCATAGTGTAATTCTACCGCTTCAAGGTGTTACTTAATCCACTAGATTTCTTAGAAACTCAGAATCAGGTACACATAACTTAACTGTTTCCTTTTAATTATTATTATTATTATTTATCTGTTCAGGTTCTTATTGAAATATAGGGCTTCACGAATACGTCGGTATTTCACACTCATCTTGGCAGTCTAACAGACTGCCAGTAAGCTCCCATTCCTTCCTCACACCATCTCCTACATGTCATCCTCTTACGCCCGACTCATCGTTTCCCATGCAGGTTCCACTCGAAAGCCTGGCACGACCTGACACATGACGACCCAAATCGGTCTTCTCAGTCTATGCTTAATCCAATCCATCTCAATTTGATTCTACACATTTGTTAGGCGACAGGTTCTTGATTCGTTGCTTTGATGCCAGCCAACCAGCCAGCCTGCCTGCCTGCCAGCGTCCCTCCTCACTTATTCTTTCTGGTCACCCAACCTGGTCTTCAGTATCGAGTGAGCGTAGACGGCAGTTGTTGACGAATGACTGTAGTATGATGGAAATGGTTTTCGCAACGTGTCAAGTCTCTCAGCCATCGCATAGAAGCACTGACATGATTGATTTAGTGTTGAAAATCCACATCTTGTTCACGCTTCATGCTGAGTGCAGTGCAGTGCAGTGCAGTAGATCTGCATACTGATTTTAGATTAAAGCAGGAAGGCCTGTCTTGCTGTCTTTCCGATCCTGGCTATCTTTGACATCCTCATCTGTGCTTATGTCGCCTGTAGTTGAAACGATGCTGCCTCCTAGGCAGATGGAAGAGGCGACTTCCTTTAGATTCCTCTCGTTGATTGTGATTGGTGCTTGTGTTTGTTGGTGGCGGTAGTGGTGGTTGGGTATCGTAATCACGTCTATCTTCTCTGAGTCCACCGGAAGGATGTTCTGTCTTCGCTGTTTCGCCTCTTCTGTCGACTTGTCAGTTTTCGTCTTTAGATCTTCGAGTTTGTGCGACATAAGACATTAGACATAATTCATCATGGGCGAAATGCAAATGTTCTAGGGTCTTTTCATCGGTTAAACAGCATGTGCTAATCTTCCCGTTCCTCACAGTTTTTGCGTGATCTAGTCCAGTTCAGTCAACCACAAAGAGGAAGATCACCTGTGATCGTAAGCGGCAACCTTGTCTTACTCCTGTCTTCACCTCACATCATAACTCTGATACCAATGCAATTTTACCATTACCTAACATCTGCGTATCGTCAGTGTTAGATTTCGATTCAGAGGATACTCACTGCTTTCTTGGTCGACATAATGTAAGTCTTGTTTACCTCAACACTTGATAGTCTACTCAAATATACTTAACCTTGAATTGGTGGAGAATGTTTGTAGCCCAGGTGGGTGGTCTCGGTTTTATGGTGTTTTCTGAGCTGGGCTGTTTAATCGTTGAGCTTTCACGGTATTTCCAAGCAACAGCATTAGCACTAACTTCAGTGTGAAGTGAGCTGTCATGATCTGTCTGAAATCTTGGACAAAGGAAACACAAAGAATATCAGAGTATCACTGGAAGTTCCACATTATGTGGCCTAAACACAAGAACATAAATTGATACTTGGATAATGAAAACCGGTTTATCTATGTCAGAAGAAGTTACAAAACGTCTTAACACGGTTTTATACTACTTTTCTCCAAAGGCGTAACACCTAAACCATGAGATATTGAAAAAATTCAAGGTATTAGGTTTATGTAATTAACTTGATCTGATCTGTGGTTTTACATGTAATAAGTAATTGAATAAAAGTGAGCTTTCGAAAAAACAATTGTAGAAAAAATCCTATCATATTTCCGTTCGCCTTTCAAGGACATGGTATTTTATAGTTCATACTATTTAAAAAAAGCTTTGATAAACTCATTGTGTATTAAAATGTTAGAGTATGAGGCAAACTACGTTACACTCGCACGTTAAAGTTATTTTGTACTGCTATGGCAAGGTTTTATTAGAGATGTACCCTTTACAAATTGTACTACACTGCCTGATCTACAATTAATCAAAAAGTTGAAATCTTAGCAGATCAAACAATGCCGTAAGTAGTAGCCTAACACATTTTTCACCAAACGAACGAACCGT